TTGATCCTTACCCTGGATGGTCCTTTGTATCATGTTTACCCAACCTATAGATCATTTTTCAACCAAAGAATAAATAAGTTATCAAACCGATTTATTAATTTACCTCAAATTGAGTTCAGTTTTAAATACACAAATGCAGAAATTTGAGTTTAAATTACACATAATATTAAGTTGATGCAATTAACAGTATTATTATGTCAACACAACTCATCAAAATGATGTCTGCAGCTTAAGAGGTTCATCAAAATCAGTATGTTAGAATTTCTGTCTGTCCCCTAAATGAGAGTTACAGCCAGTTTATGAGGTACACCTGTGAAATCTACTGCAATCTGAGCTCTGCCATAAATTCTGCTGTGGCGTGGCCTTTATATTTGTAGTCTCTGTTGATGTCATCAAAAAGGTGATTAAAATAAAAACCATAAAGTAGAATTATCCCCTTTCTGACAACGTCAGCAACATGTGGAAGCTTCGTGTTTAATGGCGGAGCTGTTTCGCTGGATTGCATAACGTTTCTCAGACACAGCTAATAAATTGGCCAGTAAATGAACAGTCAAAGGAGTCTGTCAACATTTTGTGTTGATGCCAAAGAAAAGCAACAACTTCATGAGACGAGTCCTGGCGGGTTGGACGGGAAGGAGGAGACGGGAAGGAGGAGACAGTATACAACCCTTTGTTATAATTAGATGTTTGGCCTATAAATTATTTTAGAAAAGACGTGTGAACAAGTTGGCTCCGTAGTGCTCTGCTAGCACACAGCTGTCATAAAATATCACACATTTCATTCAATCTCTTGATTAATTGTAGAGCAGTAAATGTTATCTAGATGTCATGTGATCTAAATAACAGCCAATCTTGTTAAATATTACAATATTTTGTGTATGGATGATACAGTTGTGGTAAGTACAGTTAAATTAAAATGAGCACCCACTACATTGTCAAAAATGTACGATGCTTTAATAGTTTTAACTGTAATTGTTTTTTAAAGTACTGTTATTTTAGAGATTGTTCCTGTTGTATCTGATAGCAACAAGTTGAAACACTGAAAAACAAATATTCATTTACATGTTGCCTGTAAAAACATGCCAAAACTGTAAATACGGTCCACATCAAAAATCCGTATTTGTATAAATGGTCATTTTTTTTTGTTTTACATTTGACTGTAAAATTACACTATTTGCACCTTATTTAAATCAGCAAAAATATTTATATCTATAGAATTGACACATATTTGCCTTTATTTAAAACAAAATATATATATTTAAAGGATTTAAAATATGTTTTTTAAAAAACTATTATTTCACGTCTTTTCCCTGTTTTGCTAACTTATAGATCATATCTTGTAAAAACACAAAAAGCTATATTTTACAAAACAAAACTGTAAACTATGTCCACATCAACAATCTGTAGTTTATTTTTTAAAAAGTACTTTGTTATGTTTCAGTGCGTGACAATAAAATTAGAATTTTACAGTATATAAATATACTAAAAATATATTTATTTTATAAACACAGTATTTGCCACTATTTTTACAGTTTTTAAACATTACAGCATTCTAACATTTTTCACTGTTTTCAAAAACTGATTACTTGTGCCCTGTTAAAACTGTATCGCCCTGTTTATCTGCATTAAACAATCAAAAGATGCAAATACACAGAAATGCATGTGTGGTGATTGCAGATGTGCATCTTTGTAAAACTTTATTGTTTTTTGTAATCGAATAGTTGTGGTGACCTTTAATAGCATTTAATTCACAATGTAGGAGCTGCAGTCCCTTTTTGGCAGGTGGAAAACTGCATTATATGAGTAGAACTGGTCCTTTAAAGCCATTTGACTGGTAAAAAAAAAAAAAAAAAAAAACAACTGGACTGGTTGGAATCTGGTGCAACGAACAGGTCAAACCCTCACCTGTCCCTGAAACCATGCCTGCTTACCTGAATTAAATGAGGTGATGCGGTATTTCCTCAGCAGATGGCAGCAACAAACTTCTACCAACGCAGCAGGAGGACGAGGAAGAGGAACTTCATCACTTTTTTTTCTTTTTTTTTTAATAGATGGCATTTGTTTTGGTGACGAGGGAAATACGTCAAGTTGGGAAGCAGAAAATTAAACATCCGGTTGCACGCTTTGTCTTTAAAATAATGTTGTTTAGAATTGATCATTTGCAAAAATGGCAAAAAAAAGAAAAATAAAACCGAGACGAGAACAGTAGTGTACAAGCGGTTATTCGAATGTGTTTTGTGTCGTTAAAGAAGCGCGCGTTGTAGTTTTAAAGTAGTACGGCGCTTTTATTTTGAAGCCTGTATTTCCGTATCCTGGCTGACGGTGTCGCGCTTGACCGGCGGCGATAAGGCGCTGGCAGATCTGGCAACAACATACGTTTAGCTTAATGCAGCCGATGCAGCTCAACTCCCACCGCCATGGCACCGTAACGGGGCGGACCGGGACGCGGATTCATGCTCGGTAGGTGACCGGAGCCCGTGCTACATTTCACCGTCGAGCCGAGACCCGCTAGCGGCCGTGCGGGACGCTGGAGAAGCCACAATGAGCTCGGAGCGCCAGAGCGACAGCGAGGACGCCGACGAGTCGCAGGACAGGCCCGACGGCGGCAGCGACAAAGACGAGGACCCCGACATCGACGACTCGGACGACGACGATGACATCGCCCGGAGGGTTTCTCCTCCGCCGCCGGGGAGCAGCGAGAACCGGCCGGAGCGCGCCGAGGGCTCCCCGGCGTCGGAGGAGCGAGAGCCCCGCTGCCCGCCGGCCGCCGCCACCGCGCCGCAGACTGGCAGCGTCGGCGGCGGGGTCTCCGACACCGACCTCGGCCGGGGGAATAGCCTGTTCTCCTGGCTGCAGAGCAGGACTATTAGACGGGGGGTGTTTGTGGACCCGGCCAGGGATAACTTCAGGACAATGACCAGTCTGTACTGCTCCATGAACCCGGCCGTGGAGTCGGTGAACCTGAGCACGCAGACCCACGGAGCCGTGTTCAACCTGGAGTACTCCCCGGACGGGTAAGACTGCATTCAGGCGGCTGCTTTTTAGGCCCCGGAGGTGAAATGAACAGGTTTGCTCGTGTGCTCCAGGGTTCCTTATCATGCAAACCCTCTTTACTTGCATGCACCGCCTGATGCTCCCCTAAAACACTGCAAACCTGTTGCAAAGACGCTGCTATAAAACCGACAGTTTCACAGTTTGTATTTTTCCCAGCAGACTTTCATTCACAGTAAACACATCTAATGAGTCCACTCAGGGTTCAAGCCCGGCTGACCAGACAGCAGCTTTAAGTAAATCCATCCTGCAGCCAAACCAGGTCAAGCTGTGCGCAGTCTGGGTCACATTTGTTTGGAGGCTCATGTGACAGCAGGACTTAAGCACATGTCCTCTTCCTGCACACTGAGGTGTTATGGTGGAAAATGCATTGTGTTTGCAGGAGATGGAACATCCTGAGCAGTCTGTCTGTGGCCCTCAATGAGGAAACTGATCAGATTGTCAGGCCAAATTTTATTAACATAATGCTGATTATTACAGCTGTCACCATACAATTTCCAGTCCGCTTGCTGCAAGATTAAACTTAATTTGTTCCTCCTAAAATACAGTTAAATACGGTCAAATTAAAAGCTTTTCTGGAGCCAACTCGCTGTTAACGGCCTACTGTCAAAGCGAGCCGTTCACAAAGCACTGTTTAGACTTGTGACTTGTTTTAGGCAGATAAAAATCTAATTATTAAGTTTTTAGGAATGCCCTGAGGTAGGCTGTGTTTTGTTTTTAACAGAAAGCATATTCAGTCGTCTACAATTTGTCACACAGTGCTGCCTTTGATAGATATTCTCAATACATAAAAATGTAACTCCCTTTGCAATTTAGCCTTTATTGTTTTAGGCGTTCTAAGATAAATGAAGCCTTTCATTAATCCCACAGTGGAGACATTTTTTTAGTGTTACAGCAGCAAAGACGATGCAAACGTTTAAGGAACGTAGTATGAAAATAAAAGTAGAGCAAAGTATACGTAAAGTACTCGACATACGTTTGAGTGAAACAGTTAAATTGTGGAGATTAAAGACACAATATTAATGGTAAATGTCTGCAATTCACATTTTATATATTTTCAAAAAGAAGAATATGATTTACAGGCAACTACAGTCTCAGTTAATGTTGATAAGATGAATAAAATAAGTCACAGTGTTAAATCATAAAACTCATATTTGGCTGTAATCAGTTACAGAGGAAGCAACTGTT